CAGAGTTCATGTAAAGAAATCGCAACAAATCATCGCCTCCCCTCCCCATGCATTGTTATAAGCATTAGAACTGGTGCGCAGAGCGGGTTTTGTCTATAACCATCAACAGCATATTCTGAGTTTGAATATATTGATTTTGTGTAAGGTGCGTGAATATTGTGAAAACACTATTTACTGATTCACTTTTCATATCATCGTACAGTACAAAAATCGTATTATATCTACTCCACACACAGATTGCAGAGTTATATATCCCCCTGCGGATAGAAAATCTTTAATCATGTTAACAAAATAAACCTGTTGCCAGATATTTCAAAACAGGTAATCATTTTGTATGAAAGATGAAAATTCTAGCGCTCTGTTCCATATCAGGTGGCAACGACAGCAGCACTAAGCGACAAGCAAAGCTACTCATCCATAGTCTTGGAACTCCTTCTTTCCAGCAAAATGAAAGACTGTCAATCATTGAGGTCACTTCATCCTCTGTGATTTACCGTTTCTTTGCTTACACCAAAACAGCTTTTAATATACTTCGTTTTACAAGTCAATGCTTATTGAATACTGACAATTTTTTAACTCCGAATATGGTTTGTCATTAGCAACGGAATATTATTCCATTTTGTTTTTACTTTTTTGTATCTCATTGGTTTCTTAATCCTCGTGTTTTCCCCGTGGAGAAAACATGGCTCTCTCAAATATTTTTTCAAATTAACTCTCCTGACGAGCCTGGTTCGCAAATATCTGAGACATTGCACGATAGAGCATCGAAAGGTCATGCAATCATATTCTTTTTCAAAATTTCTTATTTCTTTGAAAGCGTTTGATTGAAGTGCCTGTTCTTCAATCATCAAACTGTGGGCAAACTGTAAAAGTTGGAAAGGATCGATTCAACTTTACCGATTTACCGCGGGCAAGACATAGAACAAGGCTAGCGCGCATAATCTAAACGTCTTGATAAAAATCGTTTCTAAGAAAATATTCTTGGTAAGAATTCTTATTCTTCACTTTCAACGCCTTTCTAAGACGCACCAGACAATGTTACTTTCGAGAGATAATAAAAAAATTTCACTTGTCTAACTACGCAAGACAAGTTAATAAATTTTAAATTATCTCTAGCTGAAGATCTTATTGCATGTAGGTATTAATATTTCATACACATTTTTAAATAACCTTGTTGTTAATATAGCTTTTGCTTTATATATTTTAAAATTGTAATAAACACGTAATATCATGGAATTCAGTCTTAAAACTGCGATAATTGAATTTAAACAACTAGATTGGATTTAATTGAATTAGGTTCAATTCAGTCCAATCCATATAGCAGCTAGTGCTTTTAAAACACGAGATTATAATGAATATCCTTTTGTGCTATACTTCCAAAATACTCGTTTTGCAAAGTCATCGATTGGGACAACTAATTCATTTATTCCTTTTTAAGAAGTATCACTTGAAACAAACGTTTTCGTGCTTTTATAAAGCGAGAAACAAAATTTGGCAATGAAGGCAATGCACTTGAGCAGGGTTTACAGAATTTGTACATTATACCGTGAGAGTTTACAACATTTTAATGTAAAAACTTACCAGCCAATGCCATTGACAGTTTCAGTTCTGCAGCCACATTATAAACAATTTGAATGAAGGTACCTGCATTATACTGTTGTTGTTTGCAACACTCATCTCCCTGAAAACCCTTACTATTTCTCGATAGATTCATTCTGAAACGAACGAAGGGCACAAATATGAATCACCTTGTACTCTTATATATGTATAATCATGTACATCCCAACCCTATACAGGATGAGGAGGTAAGATTTCCTAAATAATAACATTTCACTTGCCATTAGTAACGTGATGATGAATTGTTCAAGTGCATGAAAAACCATGTAAACTTTACCACCACGCGTGATATTTCAAGAGCAAGAGAGCTTCAAAAGAGCTGCAGATGTTTTTACTTGAATCGTCTTCAGTCAACTTCTCGAATCTCCTAGGAAGTTATGGTCTAATCATCCATGTATCTATCATCATTGAGTTGACAAAGGAACCTGGGCGTCAGGGTAGTAGATTAGCTCGATTAATAACACAAATTGGTCATAAGTGCTGTTAAGAAAAGCAAAGCAAACAAATACTTAAGTTGTGTTACGGACATTCAAATTGCCAATCAACTTTCATTAGCGCTTTTAGAGAACAAAGGGCTGAAAACATTGGATTTTGTCCTTTAGCTTTTTCACCGTAACGATTTAGCCAAATTAATGTGCCTGCGTGTCGACCAACCCAGGCAGAAACAAAAGTCTTGTTTCTACTAGGAGTCCAAGCCTGGCCAACACCTCGTTTCCAGTATATTCGCTCTGCCCATATTCATTCAAAAGGTGGTTGGCCTGGCCGAGGTTAATTAGAGTCGTTAGACTGAAGTATTTAAAATGCCGTATCCCTGCGCCACTTTTGGCGGCAAATTAAATATCGTTAGTTTAGCAGCAAACACACTTGGAAGGGAACTGATGTAGTACTGTAGCTTACATTGTCGACTGCGATAACGAAGCTTTTCAAACGAGCTAGGTTTTGTATTGATCGGTTGAATAAAGAGCTCAATATATAAACCTATGATATTCATCCCTTCCAACTATTGAGTAAACTAAAAAGCTGCAAATGCAGGTGATTACGAAAACACTTACATGTAAGCGCCCATTAAAAACATGTGTATGTGTTTGTCTTAATGAATAGAGGTGTGGATGGAAAATATATTGATGTAGTCACTTTGAGGAGCTGCAATATTAGTTAGAGCACTTAAAAATTTACATAAAAGCAATATTATGTGGCTGTATCATAATCATTATTAATAAATAGGGAATTAAATGTAAAAAAGGAATTTAATGAACTACTTAATCATAAATAAATTTAAAAATACACCAATGATTCACAATGAATATTCAACAATACAGTTACAACCTCAAGTTAAATGGCTGTCAACTTGGATACACAATGGCTAAACTTGGATACACGAATTTTATTTTTAAATAAGGTTCTTGTCTATTCTGCTTGACTTATTACGATTCGTATTTCGTTTATTTGTTCTATACTTCTAATACTTTCAGTACGTAAGATTAAAATTGCTTTACATCAAGTAATGCATGTAAACTGCTGCCCATACTGCTTTTGTTTCTCACTGTATGTAAGTCGATATATGGCGGATGGCTTAGCCAGTCAGATTGTAGATTATAACCTTATATTCAATGAGTAGCCACCTTGAAAATTGAAAGCAAATATATTATTTAGACAGGGTGTTAATTGAACTTTAACTTCCATTTAAGGCAACAAGTCTACATGAACATTTTCAATATGCGTTCATACGGTGCTTGCATTCTACAAAGCAAGACCTGCAATTATGGCTTCCATTAAACATCCTTACGGCGGATTTTCTCTGATTACGATTAAAGTAAAATTAGTTTGCATATTTGCGCTGGCAACTTCTCAAGCTGAGAACAGGTTCAAGCAAGGAATGTATAAGCAATCTAAAGGTATGGGGAAATAAATTAAGCCTATAGATAAATACTGTACATAACTGAGGCCTTCGTTCGAGTTTTCTGTTGGGCAAAATTAAACGTCTTTAGAAAGATTATTTTCTTACTTTTTTATTTTTATATTGTCTTTTCAATCGTTTCTTGTATGGATTATAATGTATTGTATTCTCAAGATGTCTTGCTTATTAGGAATCTGTTTTACTTTACTTTGCTTCACTTTTACTTTGGTAAAATTAGTTGTCTGGTTGAAATTTTTATGGAATATGCGATTCGTTAGGAGGGTGAATATTGAAGGTTTATTTAGGACTCCAACGGTAACAATTTCAACTTCAAAAAAATTGGGACCGGGGGTTATTGTCTACGGAAATATGAAACGCCCCCCATAGAGGAGATTCTCTATTTCCTCAAAGAGGAAAAAGAACTCGCCCCACACCCCTCGGGAGTCACGCGTGTAATTTCAACCGTTACATGGTTTATACAGGAGATTGTTTTGTGACAAATACTCTGACCAATCACCGTGCCGGATCAGTGATCGAATGTAGCCAGCGATGCTTACGTGCTGATGAGTGTGTTGGCTTCAAATATTACTCAACCAAGAGCCAGAACATAAACTGCGAAACCTTAAAAAGAGTTGAAAGCTGCTCTCAGAATGGAAACGTTGAAAACGAGGACAGTTCTTGGAAACTTTATATGCCAGTTCCAGAAAAGGTCTGTGCAATATCGAAACCAGTGATCATGATTTCAAAATATAATCTACTAATAATTTTAATCAAAATAACACTGCAATTCTGAAGCTGCATGTACGTTTAATCAAACTAAATGTATTTACCCTTGAAAATAAGGAGGAGCACGCCAGCGTAATACCCCAATTTTTAATGTGTATCAAGTGTTTGCTGTGAAAATTGTAATATATTTAAATGGAACTACGTGTTTTATTATAGCAACCAATTTGTTTGAGAAATGTTTGCAAGAATGGAGGTAGTTGTGTTGAGGCTCCTGGTGATAAGGAGGGATTCCAGTGTGCTTGACCTGAAAGATTTACGGGAAGGTTTTGTGAGAAAGTATCTGGTATGAATGAACTCATGTCATTTTTTTGCCATATGCACAGATCACCATGCTCAAAAAATTGAGCTCCAATTGCACTTTTGTATATCTTTAGGAATGTTTAAATCTTGTAAGGAACTTCATAAGTTGAAAAGGTATTTGTTATCTTCCTATCCAACTTCAAGCGAATGGTAGAGCGAACAAATACTGCATTTTCCCTTGGTTACAATCCGTCCAAATAGAAAGATTCGTTTATGCACAAACTCTCTCATGTATTCACCAGCATAAAATATTCATCTATACTTAGAAAAACATCTATAACCACGCAAATATCTTCCATCATGTTCATTTACCAAAATTTACGTGTATCTTGATTTATGTAATCTTATTAGCAATCTTCCGAATGGCGTGTACAACATTTCTACGGATGGAGAATTGACACAGACTTACTGTCAAATGACGTCACTTGAAGGCTGTGCAGGAGGTGGCTGGACTTTAGTGATGAAAGTCGACGGCAGTAAGGTAAAGTCATACGTGTTAATTGTATACGGAAACGAATGGTTTTTCACGCACCTTTGCCGTTGGGGGGTTGGGCAATGAATCAGTGTAGCAAGGACGTTTTGCAATTGGACTAGTATTCGTGTTAGAAAGGTTTCCCTATTTAACGAGGCTTTTGTGTTAATTAGATAGATGCCATTTTAACGAGATGCCGGTATTAAAGAAGTGTGTGCGTGTTAGAAAGGTCGCTGCACTAGAAATGTGTCTGCATTAAAGAGCTTTCTGTATTGAAGGTGTCTGTATTTGATTGTTGCCTGTATTCGGAGAGATTGGGGCTTGGCAACTAGGGAGTGGGGCGTGGCAACTGTCTACTTGAAAGATAGGGGCCCGTTATAATTAGAGAAGCAAAATCATGAAAGTGTCTACATTCTATAGAGGCGAGCTAGATGACTAACTGTATTAGAAATGTCGTTTTTTGTATGAGAGATGTCTGTATTTGAATTGTTTGTACTAAATAGGTGCTCCCATGCACAGGTATCTTTGCTTAAGAGACGCCTATATTAGAGGTGTCTGTACAAGGGATTCTCTGTATTAGAGATGTACTCTCAATTAGAGAAATTAGAAATATTTGAGATAAGTGTGCCTATGACAGGTGATATAGAAGTCTTCGCTCTAGACATGGAACTAACGGGTGAGGTGTTTAACGAGCAAATTTAACTCGTGTATCCTTTTTATCAGAACACATTCGCATACAATTCCCTCTACTGGTCAAATCGGGAAATGTATAACCCAGTTGGTGGTACATCTGGCTTTGATTTCATAGAAACCAAACTTCCAACCTACTGGAGCACTTCATTCAACGAAATATGCATCGGGATAAACACTCATTCTGATCCAAAGTTTCTTAAGATCAAATACGCAGGTAAGCAAAGAAAATAATTCCCAGCAGGACCAGATAGATCGTACATTTTGAAGCTAGAATTATTCATCTCAGTGATATCACATCAGTCAATTAGTTTTATGGCAACAAGGTTAACCAACCAGGCTACTAAAATGGCTTGGCACCTGTGGGAATTGAACCATCGACCTTTGTTTTGCTAGTCCAATGCTCTTCCAGTTGAGCCAATAGGTCAGATAGATTCGAATAGGTGATAATATTTCGGAACGCAATCTGATCCCTTCCATATATAAACACCAAAAATTATAAGCTATTTGTCCATTGTCCAAATAGTTTGCAAATACTTATGCACTCCTGAGGGCCTATTTTTTTACTACCCAGGAACCTCACTGCTTAGTCTGTTAAAAGATGGCGTATTTCGTCCGATATATGATGTCGGACGAGAGGACTGGAAATCACTGATACCCTCTTACTCTTCCCTTCAAAACGGGTGCGACCAAGTGGGTTTTAATAATCAAGCTTCAAATTTGAAGATGTATCCAGCCGCTCGAATCGGCATTATAGCAGATGAAGACCCTTCGTGCAAATCTCCCGATTCATTTATTGGCATTGGTGGCACAGATTATCTCGTACATAACGACTGCTTTCTTGGGTATTTGACCTTTCCAGTGAGCGGAAATCTCGCTGCGTGCGCACCGGATAATGGTAAGGTCAACATTAAATCGATGGGATATATTTTAGTTCGTTGAGATGATTGTGAAGAACATTGTGATAATCGAAAACGATTTTTCAAATATTGCTAGGTTCTGGAAATACTCGACTGAGAAATCAGTTAAAATTACAAACTAGGACGATTTGTGGTTGTTAAAGATTAATAACTGGGTCTGGGCTGGGACCCTGCACGATATAAACAATCTATGAACACACTTTGAAATTTTAGCTTATTACAAATGAATTGTTGCTATTGTCCCATAAGTTCTAGTGTTAAAGCATGATAATTCGTAGCCTATTTTAAACTCTCGATAATTCATTTTATTCTGACTTATAACACGTTGATTGAATAAATTGTTTAAATAAAATTTCACTACAATGACAATGTCAATGTATATAGCTACAGAAGGAAAATTTTGCAGAGACACGTTTATGGGAGAACGCTGAATTAACTAAACTTTATTTTATTTACCTTGCATTAATGTAACTCCAAAGAAAGTATTTCGGGCTCAAATTCTCGGCCCGACGCCACTGTACAGGACGGCCAGATACCATCGCTTGAAAAGTTTTGCAATCCAACAGATTATTCCAACATCCTCTTGTTTCATTTCTTTCTTTCGCTCATTTTGAATTGTTTGTGTACCAAGCAAACTATTTACGGTAATTTTGTTGAGATTTCCCGGTATAAAAGCAAATAATTTTAAAAATATATGCAAGCAATCAAATATGAACGCCTCGGGACCCAAAGCGTGAAAGGCAGAAATTTAAAGTTAAAACGATTGCTTTTCAATGAAAATAGCTGAAAACTATAAATCGGTAATATACGTAACAAAATTATCAAGATATTTGCAGAAAATTTGTTGTTATTTGGTGGATATTTCATAAATCATGGCTACTTCTTTAGTTTTATTATTATAAATAGTGAAACTGAGCCCGCGCTATGGTTTAATTATGTGAAATACTACATATAACCATCACAAAGTGTCTAATAATGATAATGTTTGAACGTGTTTGTTTGTCGACTCAAGATTGGGTTAACATTGTTAGCTCGTTGTATACCAACGAAATGACAACGAAGAAGACAAATTTTACATTTTCTGATAATTTTTTTTATCTTCCTTCGACTTCAGATCTTGTTGTAATGGCTAACCTGACCAAAACCTGACCGCAAAAACGTCATAACGCCAATTTTTTTTTAACGCCAACTCTCATGCAGTACAGCAATGAAAATTTTTTTTCGTCGCAGATTTTTTTGCAGATTTCTTACTAAAAAACCATAAAACGGCCATTTTTTATAATGAGATTTGATTATGCGACGTGCAAACGATCTAGACGTTTTAGGAATCACATTATCAAGGTTAAGTTATGCATAACTCGAGAGCTCTGGCATTGTAAATGATAATGCATTATAATTTTTTATTGCATTCGTTCAAAGTTTCGTCAACTTTAAGATCAGTCTATTGAATAAATTCTCAGACAAAAAGTCATGCTGGGTAATGCTTTTCTAAACTTGCTGAGCTTGTAAAGCTAAACGCTGTACAGTTTTCAAGAACAAGTCGAAGTTTACGCAAAGCATGTTTTTCGAGTAGTCCATCGCATTCGTCTGTCAATGATCAATTACTCTGAGGCCTCAATTTGTGTATACTCATACATACACATCGTTTTCTGTAAATAGACATCGTCTCTGTAAATACCAAATAAGGTAAGTCTATGAAAGCCACAAATTCAAGTAACTGCACTTTTCTTTTAAAAAATTGTACATCACATTGCGAACTGACTCTTTTAAACCGAAAATTGGCGGACTTTAGCTGTAGCTTGCAGCTAATGATTTAAGACAAATAGTTTGACTGTGAAGTAACCGATCATTATATTTATATGAGGGTTTTAATTGTTGTAGCTTAAAATATACGAATTGTTAAAATTGGATTAACTTTTTATGCACTCAATAATGAAGTAAGATGAATGCTTGCAGACAGATTAATTGCCAGAGGTTATTGTTGGTGTAAACAATATGAAAGGCTACAGAATTGAACCCCATGCAGTTAAAAGTGAAGAAAACAGACAATTATTTAATTTATACCTTTGATATATATATATATATATAATAATAAATAGATTACATATTCCTATTTTATATTGTGCATTTATATTATTAACATTGTATATTCGTGGTTCATTTTTAGCTCACAAAACAATTTATGATGATGTTATTCTAATTTCAGAATTATCCATTTTATTTGGTTTCCTGGGAATGCTCATATCGTCAGGTTGTATTGCTTAGCAACGACGTCACATTTGGATTCTGCTCAGAAAAATTTACCTGAAATAAAAATGTAGGCAATCAAACATGCATGTTCATAAACGTCAGCCTAAAATATTTCGAAATAAGCCCTTGTATGAAGTGGAAAAATATGCCAAAAAAGTGTAGTGGAACATACTGCACCAATCTTTCATATCTCATTTTGAGTCATCCTTAAGATGCAAATTATGACCGCCAGCCCACCATGTTAAGTGTTTCTGTTAATATTCACTTGGCCTTTTTGGCCTTGTATACATAAAAACACTTGCTGTCGCTATATGATGTTGAACAATCAATAGATGTTTGATGCATGCATTTCAATATTTTTGCAAATATTCCTTTCGTCTGTTCCTAATAATATCATATCAAACTAACTGCACACACAACTCAGAGACAACGATGATTTGTAAAACTAATATTTGTTCTACTACTATTTGCTGTCGAGTTCTGTCGAAGAAAAGGAACCTATTTGATATTTGACCGGATGATATATTCTGGCAAACTTATCGGGAAACTTAAGAAAAAAAGATAGCAACATGTTTCTACTCCTACAATTCGCATCCTCCAACGGAAATGAAAAACATGGATCAATAACACAGTATACAGATTGAACAGCGGGGCCACTTAACTGAACATGGAATCCGGTGATGTGTACTTAATCAATTATTCGCTGCGGTTAGCCAGCTTAAAGTTCAGATTGGCTTGAAAATGCAATTGACTGGCTGCGAATATGGTAATGCACGGCGTAATAAGATACCCAATCGTATAAAATTCTTACTTAGGGCTGTTTTCCACCGTCGCGTTTTTTGTACGTTAGTATACGCACGTAAAAGTTTAAAATCATTTAAATGGTACTTATGGAATCAACGATTGAATAGATGCATAGGGTTGGATTCTGTTGATGATTTGGTGCGTTTTTTCTGGCATAAAATTATTTATACAATAACTTACTAACATAAGGTTTTAAGCTTTTACGTGCGTGTACGTACGTGCAAAAAACGTGACACTGGACAGCAGCCCTTAGTGGTCCCACTGTTTATTTCCTGTACTGTGCTTTTGTTAGGAAAATCCCAAGAAAGCAATGCATATTCCATTAGCAGATTTGCACCCAAAAATAATAACTAATGAACGTACAAATATTAGTATGTGAATCTTTCTAACTGACCTACCAGCTGTTCGAATGGTGTTCTTTCAATTTCTGACTGCATCGCGAACTCATTCAACGCCTTCCACGGTTGGTAACCTGGATCGGAGTCTGGACTCGATGCAACCAGCCCATGCGCCATACTATTCCGGTCTTGCAGCGATTGTTGTAATGAAATCGATGAGCCGTCTGTTAAGCTACACGATGACTAAAAAATAGATTTATCCTTTTAATCATTTGGGAAATTATGGACAGCGTAGTTAAATGATGTTTTTGTAAATGATAATGCAACATTTATTGTATAACAAAGGAAAAGTGCGAGTCTACAAAAAATAGTGCATATTCTCGTTATTTCTCCAGGAAACATAATTTATTTGAGTTTGCGCTGCAATATCCTCAACTTGAAAGAGCCTTAGAGGGCGTAAAATTTTCGTGCACTGAAATTGGATAATTGGTTAAAATAATTAAAGAGCTCTCAAAGACTCTTGTTATTTAAAATTTTTCTTTATATGGAACACCGAAATAACAGAAAGCTTGCTTTCAGTCAACACACCACCACGGAATTAATTCTCACATAAAACTAACAGAATATAGCCATTTGTAACTTGTAAGGGTAGCTACCTTTATCTATTTCAACAAGCCAAGCTACTAGTGCATGGTTATCGGCTGAACACCGTAAATTGAAATCACGGAACATTGGGGCATGTATGTTTAATCATTCAGCAAACCTACTCTCATCTGCGCTGCTATTTGGAGCGATGAGACAGGAGAAGTCAATTACCTGAGACACAATAACCTTATTATGGCGACAAATGTGACCTTCAAGTTCTGTCAGCAACAAAAACCAGCTTGAAACGATTATTTATTTTGATAGCAAGTCAACGCTTTGCCACGCTTTATTTTGAGATACAAAATGGGAAGGAATGTAAGCGACTGTCTACCCCCCATGAACATATTAGCCATTTCAAGAATCATTAGTTGAATTTCTCGTTTCGTCACCCATGTTCTGATACGAAGATTCATCTAAGAATTTTCATGGAAATGACCGGTGTTTTTTGAACCGGTGTGGTCTAGAGGAAAGAGCGGCGATAAAAAGGGGAAGGTGCAGTAAAACCCCCACTCGTCAAGGAGTCAGAAAATTTTTGAATGATGAGAACCATATCGCTGTCATAAATATTTTATCACGCTGTTTCATCTTTAAGCTCTTGTAAATAATAATATTTTGCAATATCCTACAAAATGGTTGAATCTTATATGGTTGGTTCACGCCAAGCAATGCAATCGGAAGAGCTGGACTATTATTACTTATAATTTTGCCTTTACAAACTGAGAACACACATGGCCTTCGCTTTAATTTTCGTCCCAAAATAATGTTTCTCGAAAACCTATCCTATCGTCAGGGGATTCAAGGCAAGCAGCGTTAAGTCGTAACGAAAAAATTTCGTGCAAGTAAATTGGATTATTGCTTGCTACAGCTGATGTCAAGAGGGCTGAAGTGGCAGGCAAAAGGTAAAAATAATATAATAAAGGTTCATATAGCTCTCCTAGGTTAGATACTAATGTTTACTCTCGTGTTTTTCTTGTTGTTGCATGTACCAGAGAACAAACGCACGCTTCAAGTTAGTCTGCAAGCGTCCGAGGCTATCAAAGTCTGAAAGTTGCCTAAAAATTGCTCGTTAGACTGAATAAAGTTACTGCAAACGCTAAAACGTGCTCAGAAGTTATCGAGTATAACAATCGGGCCATGCCTGCATCCCATCAATACTGCATCGCGCGCACTCTATAGCTTCAGAAAAACATTCCCTGGTTTTCGTTACCTGATCTTCTGGTGAACTAACTGCTCTGGAGCCCTGCTGTTTCATCTGTATGGACTTCTTCTTATCTTTGCATCTTTTATTTTGAAACCATACGCGAATAACCCGCGGACTTAGGCCGGTCATTTCAACTAACTGTTCCTTCATCATCGCATCCGGTCGTGGATTCGCAGCGTAGCACGTCCGTAACGTGTGCAACTGTTTTTCGTTGAGGACAGTTCTTACACGAGTCGTCTTTTCAACCTTTTTACTGTTCGCCTCGTGACGGATTTGATAGGTTGGTCGACCTGAATGTGAGACAAAAAATGACATGTTATTTGATGACAAGTTATTTTAAAAAGCAACTTCTCTGAGTTACTTTATGCATGGAATTAAACTTCAGTCGTATGGGAGCTCAATACGACTGAAAAATCTACTCCAGCCTGCTTCGTGAGTAGCAAAAACATGTACCCTTTATACCTTGGGGATATTTCTAAAATGTCCATGAATATGCTATTTTGTAATAACTAATGTGAAATGTAGTCTTAGATTACTCCAATTACGTCGAACGAAGCAACCAAACTTTCACGTACATGCCGATAGTCATAATTTCAATGGTAATTTAAGTAAACTTCTAAAGCGGCCACGAATGAAAAGCTATTTTGTAATCATTCTTATGAAATTATAAGTCTTGGATTGCTCCAATTTAGTTGAAAGAAGAAACCACATCATCACGTACAGATTATTGTCAACATTATACTTTGCAATTCATCATATTTGCGCCTATTGTTGTTGCGACAAGAGAAACGGTTTCATTGATGTTGTTTGTGATGTAATGTGCTACGCGTCAAATAAAACATGTCAACAAGAGTTATCGAAGAACAATCTCGTCCTCATTGCAAAATTTTATAGCAAAGGTCAACTCATATTTTTAGTTGCAGGCGTGCATGTGTTGACATCCAAAGAAAATAGAAACACGAAACACGACGTTATATCAGGTTTAGTAAATTCATATTCGAGCCTGCTGTGCGCTTTAGTTGTCCGGGGGTATTCCGAGAATCTGTGATAGCCTTTAACGGCAGCGTGCAGTAGCCTTGTGAGGTTCAGAGCGCCTCATCAGCATCTTTGGGCAAATACAGAATAAAGATAATCGACTTTAATTTGCAATTAAAACGCATTCTCGAAGCAAACAGGATGGAAACTGCGCTACATTATCTTAGAATAACATTTTTTGTTTTGTCTAAGAAACTGGATGCTTGTGTATTTACCAATTGAAAATTCAGGAAACACGAATTATACCCGTTTCCGCGATATATACGATTGAATGTTTATACCACAAGACTGTAAATATTCCTCCAACTTTTAATAAACAATTTAGAGATGAGCTGTTTGTAGGATTACAGCAATTCGACGAAACACTTTTTTGTATTTCTAAAAATATAATTGAGGTGAACAACTCCGTTCAGTTGTGTGTGTTTTAACCTTCCTCATATAACTAATATACAGTTTAATTATTAAGACAATGGAATATCACAGAAAATACTGCATATGATATTTTTGAAAATGCAGTTAGAAGGGGCAACCTCGTACCCCAGGATGGGCGGGCTTTTTCTTAATGGCGCATGCTCTTTTATCGAAATTAATTAAATTGCAGAATTCGATTTTAGGTGATTAGGAAATTGAGGCATCTGGAAGAGATTAAAAGTGGGTAGAAATTTCAATTTTAGGTTTTGAGATTTGAATAAGGAACAGCATGATTACATTGCATTCTGGTATTAGGCTAATATTCCCACGAATAATTGTTTTTTTTCGCTATTCTTAGAAAGCATTCATGGAAATATGATCGATATTTACTATCCCTCGATAACAATTACGGGATGAAATGATTACGTGGCCTTATCTCAACGGTATTGCATTGCTAAGGTTATCTCCAAATCATCTCCAACCTCCCACCTATACGACAGCGAGCCATTAATTTTGCCTCTACGACCGTACGGAACAATTCAACTGAGCTTCTGCTCGAAGCACGCGTAACAAAACAGTTATTTCTGTTCCAAACACCTCGTAAACAATACGTGAATGTTGTGTACGACAATTAACTCGATTATTCTCCGGGGCATTTGCAAAAACAATCCCTGTTTTTAGTTTTTAATTAACGCGTGCATATTAAGCGTTGTATTTTGCTCATCGAATTGACAAAATAGGAGTGCATGGTATCACTGGTAATGTAAATTTTGCTCAAGTGACGGAAGGAAACAATGACTATCATCATCTTTCATTTAGCAAAAATATTATTATTTTAGCACTACAAAAAGTTGTTTTTGTACTTCTCCCCAGGACTCTGGCTATATCTCTGTTCAACTGCTAGCCTATATTTTATTCATATTATTTTATTCAAAGGGTAAAAATCTATGTCTTCGAATCGACTGTCTTGTCATAATCAGGTATTATCTTATCTGTCTTGGCACAACTGCATGCTCGAGTCCCACCTTCTCTTTCTATATTGTCTATACATGTATGTATAGCATACGACATGCAGGATAGAATTGCATGCCGTTTACGAAAACATCATTGTATGGTATTTGCTTTCCCAGCTCTCCTTTCGAGAATCACAAAAGAAAACTATTTTACATGCGAGAAACTACAGTGTTTCTTTGAGTCCACCAGCAGACGGACAATATTTCTATTTTTAAACATCTACGCGTGGCGTGGCAGCAATTTTAAACCTCCATTACTGGGTCCTTCAACTATTTGTACTAAAGGACTGCAATTAATGGACAGCATAAGCGATATCCTTTACAAACACATTTATAAATATACGAGTTACATCAATGTCATGAAATTCTTTAATCATTGTTTGATAGTAATCTTTAATTAAGAAAGGATTTAAGTTGATTAAATTGAGACGTTCAGGTTTATGAGCTGGATGGGAGTTGCATAATTACAAAGATCCTGTCAATTTGAATCGAAGAAGCTGCTGAGATAAAGGAGTTTGTTCCGGCATAAGGGTTGATGTGTGGATCATGTGCTAGCTTAATTACAGGGAAGCTGACATTCAAGTGTTTTGCATGTTCTATAGTCCCACATTAACTGTCGAGTAGTTTCTTATACTTCGATTAGAAACTCATAAACGAGACGTAAAAAGATAAATTAGACAACAAACTTGACGAACAGCTGCTGGGTTGCATTAAAATCTTAGTACCATCTTCAGAATGACAAATAAGACGCTGCCACTTTGTAATTTTCACGAGTCTCGATGAGAAAGCTTTTAAACGTGCATGGAGTGAACTACTTAATACATCCCATTACATCCATTTATTCATTAAAAAGATTAATTGAATAATCATTCAGGACGTTTTATAGACAATATGTTTCAAACTTTGGACCCCATTCTAACAAAGGCCTTTAGTATATGCTGTTTTTATTATTGTAAGATATTTTAGACAGTTGCTGAATCATGCTCGATGAAAAAGTTACTTGAAGATGCTGACACGGCGCTCTGGTTATCTTAGAATGCATTATTGAAATTTCTTAAATATAGTAATATAGTCTATCGTGCATCATTCGTTTGGTACAGAAATAGGTACAATGTCATGCGCACGCATATTTTAAGACCACAAATAGCGAGTGTGCCTCATACAATATCAGACAATGGTTCACATTATCGTAGAGCGACGAATTTTGACTGACAGAAAAAGCAGTGGTCAAACGGACAGGTGGATTGATTTTTGTACAATCGATTGCCTAGCTTTTATACACTTAAAAATAAAAAGATTAATAATTGTGAATCGATTAGACTGTTTGCATGTTTGTGTTCGGCTGTTGTGGGGCGCATCAATTGAGAATGAAGACATTAGGCGTGCAATATGAAATTTGAGCGATTTTAAAACGTTGATGGAATTCTTTTACTGTTGATTTTAAGATAGAATCGATCCCACACATCGCTAACTGCAGCATCTTTGTGATGATTCTAGCCACATTGCCCTACCCTGGACGTGGCATGGCTGATCTCAGATAAGAATCTCATTGCATTCTTATTCGATCACCCGTCCTCGCTGAGACAACAAAGAAATAATCAATTCTTCGATAGTCCACCCCACGGATTGTCGTTCACAGGATTAAAAAGAAATCTTTCAGATTAGGTTGAACACAAATTGATCGGACGCATCCAAATTATAGGGCAATTAGCGCTTTAAAAGATTCTAGCCGAGGAACATCCACGGGAAAAGTCGGAAAAGATGATTAGATAAATAGTTTTAATCAATTATCATGCATGCACCCTATGGCTTGGTCTAAAATAATAGTAGACAAAACCTTTTTTTATCGAGCATTTTCAAGCCTCTTTCGTACAATCTTCGCGCTGGGGAGAACTTTACTCCGAGAAAGCTTCTTAAGAGCTTCAGGGACACACAAGAAAGTTTCCTTCCTGTTAAAAAGAGAACATCCGACTTAAACAAACTTTATTGTCTGATCGAGTCCTAATGATATGCAGCCTTGAGATTCCTCACTAATGCACTCTATACCAGCGAATTTCCTAATGGAATAGTTTTGAGGCTGAGTTTAATCGCAGCAAAGATGAAAGAGATAATTATAACAATATCAGAAAATTTCTCATCATGTCATAATGCCGAGTAGCTACATAATTATAGAGACATTTAAAAACTCCCTTTATACTAAGACCATTTCCCCTAATAAGAGCTATAGATTATTATTAGATCTCACCAGTAGAAACGATCAAAAACAAGACAAAGTGCTTTACATACTAGTATATATACATACTAGTCCTTATATTGGACTTTTTATCATTTATCAAAGCAAAAAAAAATACTAAATGAATAATGTATTCTTTAACCTAAGATCATGGGCATTTTACACGATGTTTTAGTCATACACAGTAAAAATGGCAGAGGAAACAGACATGAATTGTAAAGTATTGATAGTATGAAAGAGAAAACAATATATTAATGTAGAAATGGTTAATTTCTGAAGGGTTTAGTCTTAATTTTATACCTATAATAATGGTGAAATTCTACATTATATGTCGTGTCTGAAATGAAACTATGGATTCAAGGTTTTCTACAAAAAGACACGACACTATTTAGACGAATATGACAAATTCGACTTGCAAGAAAAGCGACTTGTGTTTCCCGTAAAAAAATACAGCCATATTTGCACATTCAATTTACATCTGCAAAGATATCTGTGCATGATCACATAAAGCGCATTGGGTCCGCATTGCATATTACATCAGGCTTTCCAACATGGAGACAAAATTATTATCCCACAGCAAACAAATATATTGGCGAATTTATATTTTGACAATAAACTTTTATAAAAAAAACTTTTTATCGAAGTGGGTAGCTTCAGATCTCCGACATCTTGACAGACTTTTAAAGATACGTAGCTACATGAATTACGATTTTCACTGTAAGTTGGAAAAAGTATCTTTCAAAAAGTATCTACTGTTGATTATAATATGGCTACAAAACGGTCGCAGAATAAACAAGAACGGCCGAAGCAACGCGAACTGTTATCTTCAAAATTAAACATCAGAAGGAAACTTGGCAGAGGCAACCAAGATGGCGCCGAATGACAGATTGTGACGTCATATGCAAACGAATTATAAACTATAGTTTTAGTCCGTTTTTTATCGACTGAGAACATCAACACGCTTAAAGGCGAGTTCGTATCTAAGTATAGATCATGACTCCTCCAAAAGAAAATATATATTTCATTATAAATATATTTTTCGAAAAAGTCGACGAACACCTTTCTAATCCTATACACACAAACACTGCATATGTTCATACATAACATGTAACATTATTCATTAATAATCAATTTCCATAAAAGGTATATAAGATCGGTGTATAATTTGGATATGTTTATGCAGACATAATTAACCTTATAACATCGTAAATTGCATATTGTAGAAATTATTGTATGCCCTAAAGGATATCCCGTGAATTTGACAAAGTTGGAGACTGTTTGTTGAGTGCTAAGTCAATCGAAGCCTAAAATCAATTATCAAACTCCCTGACAGCTTGCTTGAAAAGCTATGAATTTTCTAGAAAACCTTCTCTTAAACCGACGTCGCGAGTCGCACACCGTAAAACAAGGTTATATTTTATACATCTCAGGCGATGGATGCATGTTAGGTTACCAACAATCGAGTTTTGAACAAATGATGGCTCCTTGAAAAATACTTGAATAGCAAAGTTTATTATATAGCAAGGCAAATTACGTGCTTCTCCCACGAGGCAAATTTTACGTGCTTCGAACATTTCTCTTCGAACTTTGTTGCTAAAATGATGCTTCTATTTTGTTTGTGTATTTTTGAAATATTCTGATCAAAACCAAATGCGATTTCACTCTCGCGGAATGGAACAGCTCAAGCAGACAGGGACAATATCACTCCAGTACGAGTGCTTATTGCGAGAGGTGCGATTTAACAGCTGCATGTGTCCGGCAAAGAATGGGCAAGCCTCTTTTTCTGTGTAATTATAAGGAAATGGGTGCCGTTTAACGAAAGGAAGAGGCTAAGCTTTAAGACTAATGCCTGCGTTTAACTTTAATTAACAAAAACGACATGCTTTTTGTCTGCAACGGAAACGTTGATTGACCAATTCGGTATTGACTTCTCGATCTTGCCTACGATAATTTGCGAATCAACAATTCATACAAGTCACGGCTAGATGGCGCTGTGTACAAACCAACTGATATTACTCTAGATTATATATCAGATAAGTCCACGCAAATCGTCCCAAATCAATTCAATTGACCTGAATCAACACTGCAAACGCGTTTCCTCGCTCTCCTTAGACTTAGTCCGTGCATTTTGGTTAGAACAATACAATATATTATCCATATTTATGTGATCGCGATTTCTTTGTTAAGTTTGTTTGGTGAATATATATCTGCAATATCAAGATAACAGCTTGCACATCGCGACTTCATATTTTTAAATAGAATCCCCACATATTGCTCAGTTCATTATATAAAAAAATAAAAGGAGCCAGAAAAATCTACGCGCGCGTTGTTATGATCAAGGGGCCGGAATGACTGGGCATCACACCACAAGGAATTGATTCGTGGTCAGAACGCGATACTGTAGAACTGCTATAACAAATAGTGTTTATGATTTATTGTTTGGAATTAAAAAGATCAACACCACAATTCGGATTGCGGTCTACCCTGATGGAAATAGACAACAATTTAGTTTAAAGAGGTAGAATTGACACGCTATTCTTGTGCAGAACTAAAGCGCTGTTTCTTGGAGGTAAAGAGCCGTGAAGTTCAGCCTTTTTTAAACGAAGCACATGATAATCACGGTCCGTTTAAAAAGCATCGACGTTCCTGCTTTCTGAATGGGGTAAAACAGTGATCATGCACACGATACACATTAAATCTTTTGACCACTTCGCGACAATGTGGCGACTTATGTGAACCCAAAACCCTCAAATTCAATTGCTTACATTTGTTTGGACGCCTGTGCTAATCTGCAATTTCTCTTAAACTTAAAAGCTGATTTCGGTCTCAAAGCCCACTTCGTTGGCTGTATGACATGCGTGTATGCGTCTTAAATCTATATGTACTTTACCATAGGGGTCAGTTACAATACATTAAGCAAGTACATGATAGCAAAAATAGCATCTCGACTTGAAGTTCGATCAATTGTATATGTTATATCAATGCAAAGCTAAGCAGCTAAGATCTGTGTCCTGAGAATTACTCAAACAAAGACATTTAATAGTAAAGACATTCTTTCTTTGAAAATATAGGACGGCCACATTGCTTGAAATCTTCGACCATTATATGCGTTTCTAACAAGTTACTTTGAGAGTCGAAGCATGAGTTCGGTTTGATATTGAATGCATGCCACGATGAAAGAGCTGCTTTAAATAAACTTGCGAAATGTGGTTTCAATTCGTGTTTTAAAAAACGTATACATTTAGGCACGACGCCAAAATTGCCAAACCTGTCTGAGGCCTTGAGGTCTGCATGTGAAGAAATGAGAATACTAGCGCCGTTTTAATTTCTACCAGCACATTCAAAACAATCTAAGCGGACCTTGCCTGTCCTAACTTTAAGCAGATTCGTTGAATAGCAGATGCACGCATTACCGGTGTAAAAATTCATGCAATTATGTATCAATATTATAGGTTTCTTCTCAAGTAGGTCTATGATAAAGCAAGCTATGTTGCAAATTACGAAACTGTGTCGAACTTTAAATATACGTATTTCTTACGAAAAAGCAAAGGTTTCATTAGTAAGCGACAACAGAAAACATGCTAATAGGTGCTGGTGTTTGCACTGTACGTTCAAGCGAAGTTCCCTTGGGTAAATTTTAGCCCGATAGCTCTTCATCATGAACGCGCGTGTCCAGATGCAAGCATTCGATGCTGACACATTCATCATGACTTGAGAACACCTCTCAATGAATTCGTGCAAGCATAGCTAAACGGGCCAGCTTGTTAATAAAAATTCACATTTTTGTAAACAGACTCCTCTCGCAATGTACATCTTTATTTAACACAGGATATGAAATATATACAGGAGTGGAAATGTTTAATCCGTTGTAACAGCCAGCGTTTCCTCAATCATTGAATAAAAAGGACAATGGGTAGTTTTATGGGGGTTATTTGAAAACCAAGCAAACTGTTAGCTACATCACAGGCATATGCAATGCAAATAGCACGATAAATCTCAATTGAATTTCGACCGATGAAGCGTTGTGTCAGTGCGTACGCAAGTCACAATCTCTCCGTCCTTTTCCTCGGCGTAAGATTATTCAATAATTAATCATAGCGTGATCAGAAATTCGTGTTAATAGAGAGAAGAAAGGGGCCTCGTTGCGCTAATGATGTTATCACTCGACATGTTATGTTCGACAACACGCATCGTCCAGCCTCTCGCATTTTGCACCCCATGGACCTACCGCAGTGCAAACTTGAAGCATTTACACCAATTTAAATACTATACCTATCTGAAGTTACGCCTGCATTCTTATAAAAGCACTGATATGTCTGCGATAAGGCACATCGACAGATCGTATAAATTTACTTCGGACGGAAACGAAGCAGTATTTGGCGCAGAGCACATCGCGAACGCCAGTAAACCGGCTTCTCACGAACGCACAAGTGCAGACGGATAAAACGATGAAAGAAGAAATTGCTATTAACTTACCCGTGTTCATCGAGGCGGGAAGGTTTTCGGCACTGTAGTGTTCGCGAGCTTTTTCCAATATGATGTGATCTGCCTTGCAAAATAGTCCATTGTCCCTGAGCGCAAATTCCTCTCCACGTAGTAGCTGCTTACTACAGGCGACACATCGAAAACACTCCATGTGGAATATCTTATTCTTAACTCTCATAACGTAATCTTTCTTGTTAAAACCCTGATTGCATTTCGCGCATTTCGAACCAAACAATCTAAAAACGATGTGTGCATAATTATCATTGAGGCCAAAGGTAACTCGGACTCTTGTCAAACGAAAGGAGAATTCAGATAGTGTTATACTTTGTGCGTGGGGACTTGAAGGCAATTTTATCTAGGGATACTTTGTCTTCCGAGGTGCGTGTGGAGCGTTTATACCGCACGAGCTTTCGATAAACGAACGGTGTAAATCGCTTTACGTTGATTCGAATCAGAAGTATAATCGATGAGCAGCAAACTTGAAGATGCACGCAAACTCAAAATGGAAATTATGAAATGATTGTCATTTAGAGGGTCGCGGATACGCTCCGCTGCCAAAATATCATATATGTGTCGAATAACCGTGAAATCTCTCGGCCTTTTTGCGACTGTGATACGACGAAGGGGCAGGCAGAGATAGCTTCTGTAACTGTTCACCTCAGTCGCCCTACGAAGCACATCAATACGGCCGCTACGCTAAATCTGAAGGCGGGGCGATTTGATCGAGCCGAACATCTTAGCGTCGTGTCTATAATCGCTTGACCACCGAGACTTCCATGTAGCACTGCGACAAGGATATATATGTATATATAGATATATCTATATCCAGCGTGTCGCAGACGGCTGGAGCCCGTGCCAGGGTCTAGGAATTACTTACAAAACATACATGAAATCTGGCCGGGGTTTGTAAACCGTGTGTGAAACTGCCAACATGAACTGTACAACTCATCGTATACGGTCTAGTCCATAACATAATCATTTATGGATAAACACAAAAGAGGCCCTCTTTCCTTACTACGGAAATCGTGAAATTATATTGGATAGACACTCGTATTAATGTATACGATAGTTTAAAAGCTTATTGATAAAACATAAACATTTACCTATAGTAATCGCGTTTGCAGTAGGTCTTTCCTTCGCGTACGAAGCACGTACTGCTTTCGTCCAGGGCGACATTACACTCTGAACATTTTAAACAGGTTGCATGCCACTCTAAATCTGGTGAAACTCTTAGGATGAATTGATCGGTGATTTGGGCTCCACAGCCGACACACAGCGCTATCCTGCGAGATGGGTCTAAAACGAAATGGTGCACACGTATTGTTACCTACAAACAATCTATATATGTCAAAATTCAAGAGTAGAAGTCATTTGAGTGTAACGTCATTGCACTATACATCTATATATAACGATAATAATACTTTAACAATATATCGCCGCGTTCAGAGTGTCGTTAATATGGATACTAAGTATTAATAGCGAGGTGTAAATTGCTTTTAAAGCAAAACATATTACTTTGTAAAGCTCCTGAATTCATCTTCGACACCTGCAAGTATTGAGACAGAAGTTTCCCAGCAGAACGCCAACTTTGACTGGTATAATTCAGTGTATACAGTTTAGCGATGCATGGGTACTGTCTCATTGGCAGAAGCTATCATTCAACCGGCCAGTCTTTGTTGCCACACGTGATCGAATCGCACCGATTATTGGTCGAACGGCGTTCGAAACTATTCGACAAATTTGGTGTCGTTATCACGCGCGTGATTTTGATTGGCTCGCGTGGCGATGTACACGACGCAAAACCTACCCGCAGATACGTTCAACTCTATAGTCGAATCAATTCTGGGCTGGCAGGTGCTCGAGTCGTGAAAAGAGTATTCGATAATGGATTGAGTTCGGTGTTTAGCATGAAAATGAGCGTATAACGTGCGATACACTCTAGCGATATGCATATACAAGGCGTAATTAACCTCGTTCTGAACAGGTGTGCCGTATGTAATCCCTTAGCAGGAAAGCCGGACGCATGCTTTTGTGTAGAAAAGGTCTGAGTTTGCTTTCTGATGATAGAGCCCTGTGTAGGCTTGACAAGGCTTATTTTGCCTGGCACTAGGCGAATTCCCACGCACCGCTCTCGCGCATGCATTCATGAAAGAAAGTTATTGATTTGAAGGCGATAAAGCACAAAAACATGGGTTTTAAACATTCTGAATGCCGTTATTGAACATGATAATTGGAATAAAAAACAGAACACGCAAGCTGCCAAACTTAAACAATGCATTTGCATTGAAATCCAACAATTTCATGGAACCGTGCTATAATGTAGGTTTCTTTCATGTTAGTGTAACATTAAAATCTCCGCATCGTTTTTCGTGTAACTTTCGAACACGCTGATGATGTAGTAGTAAAATTAGCTTAGAAGACCATGCAGACGCTATACACAGCAGCGTTTGACAAGGTGTTGTATGAAATTTTGAATAACAATCGTGATCGAACTTTGCGTAATTTCAAAGACTTTACGCAAATCACGCCTCGATCGACGAGACAACGCTCAAGAGATTCTTTTGCGTTCCAACGAAAGCCGCGCCGAACGTCGTGAGATAGTCATTATTCTGGCTGACACGTTTTCGAACGCGAAGTGTCAAGTGCTTTGCCTACTTGACACAAAACAAAGCGCGGCTGAGCTTGCTTTCGACTGACACTCGTCAGGAATTCACATAAATTTCAGCGTAGCCCATGCGGGTGCTGTTTACTTATAGACTTCAATGATTCATATAATCACCAGATTGAGTGGCGCCTTCACAGGCTTTACACGTAGCCATCAAAAAGTGTATCAAAATTTATGCATGGCCCTAACTGTTTAACACTTGTCGCTTGATATATTGTGGGCTTGCATTCATAAATGCATGTATGAGCGATCCGTATCTGACGTTAATACGATTTCTACTGATATTTCCCGATAGCCACGAATATTGTTATTGCTTGTTTTTTATAAGCGATATTGTATATTGCATATTATAGCTGTTGAATCCGGCCGCAGCTTGAGTCCATAGCAAACACGAACTTGAGTTATGACTCGATGTTGGCTCGCGGTTATTGTGTGCCAACAACGAGACGGGGTATCTAATTTGTATTCAGAGCAAGACAAAATAGCATTGTCGTTCTGTTTGCATAGGCGAACGGGGAGGTAAGCTAAGCTTTTGTCTCCTTATCGTTTGATCAATAGCATGAACATAATAAGCCCAAGAGATGAACGGCCTGATAATACGCCCTAATGATTTGATTGACAATACGCTCAAACTAACATTTCACATTCGCCAGCCACCTGCATTATTCCTCACTGTGCGAGTGCTTTCTTTTCTGTTCGGGGGCAGGGTAGCTTTCAAGCTATTTTTGTCTACCTTGATAATATCGCATACAGAAACCCACGACGATGGCACTTAAGCCCGTTGTCCGAATGCGTTCCACATTATTTCACTCAAATTAGGATTAAACAGCGAACAACAACACGGTGTGGCACTGAAATTTAGTGTAGTTTACCAAATTAATTTCTTTGTTGACTCGACTAGTTAGCGTTTAGACCGCGCGCTTAAGGCAAAACACAAATCTTGTAATCTTGACACTGTGGTTTTAACAAGCTCTTGTTCCCTTGATTAACAGGCATTGAAAGCCGTGGCACGATAAACGTGTGAATGGGAACGGTTTTGGAAAGGAATTATCTTCTAGTTGAACGGAACAAAAGAGCACGCTATAATAACAGCAATCGGAGCGAATAATAGAAATCGAGTGGAAAACACACAGCTTCGTAGGGAAATAGCTACACATATACAAATTTCGGATAAAGTAAACACGTTTCGCTGTTTGAATACGCAGAATCACAGTTGCTATATATAGGCTGTTTTCATAACAACACTGTGGGTTGTCGTGTGCTATTCAAAACTCGTTCAATATTCGCAACAGTGCTGTTGTTGGTAATCATTAAGCGAAAATTTGAATCAATTACTTAAACATACTGAATGCGACGTCCTGTCGTTACAAGGCTCACAAGGATAAGTACCTATTCCGTTTCGAAACACGCTCGATTTGCACTGCCTAAAAGGCGATCAGGTCAACTAAAACGACGGCATAAAGTCGAAAAGCTCTTATGTCTCAATAAAATCGCCACGCGTTGTGGGACTTAGAACCCCGAGCGTCTGTTAATGGCATTTAGCGTTTAATCTCGAGGACAAACTAGCCAAAACAGATTAGTGCTTCTTAAACTGTTAAACTTAAACTTTTTAATGAAAGCTTTTTTTGCGAGGCTGTGAAGCGAAGATGTTCGCCCGCGCGCGGTCTGTGCGAAATATTTCACACATCCTTTAATGTCCGTATCCAAATTTCAACATTTTAATCCGACTTCAGAAAGCCCAATGCGACCCGAAGCTGACGTTGATCTCTCTTCTGCGTCTTAACTGTCAGACGTTTAGCCGTTTAATTAGAGGGCTAAATGGCGACAGCCTTAGGGAACGAAGCCCATATGATGTGTTGTAAATTACTTATAACCTCGATATAATCTAAGACCAAGTTTCACGATAACTTGTTGTAGTCGGGTTGAAAGCGAGCGTGTAAGTTCTAGGGTTGTATAAACATCAGTTATAAACTTGTAAGACGACGCTCTTGTTCTACCGTCGAAATTTATCATAGTATTGAAACTTTTCGCGAACTTTGAATCTTGCGAATTCAAGTTATTTGCGGAACATGGGCAATGTAAACCCAGCGATTTCCTAATCTGTTCAAGTGCAAGGCTTGACGTCCAAGTTACGCCGATATACAACTCACAGCTTGCCATCGTCACAGTACTGGATTTAAAATGTCGTTAATCCCCCAGCGCCTGTCAACACTAAAGTCCATACTTGAAGCGTGCGCAAATCATGAGATTATTATATTCGGGTTGGATGTTTGTCCTCACCGCGCCTCGTCAAATTCCACAGACGGCAGAACTATTTACACACGGACATGATGCAGCGCTTTTAAAATTACAACATGTTATCCGCGAATTATAACACCCTCGCGTAATCAAAATAATCGCTTTTTGATTGAGGGGCAATGCAAAATGAAATAGATAAGTGTTGGAAAGAAAATTCACACGCGTAGCTATAATAATAACACACACCAGCGATCATAAAAAATACCAAGTCAGTATACATATATATCGGACATTAGCTATGCACGAATGAGTACATATATAACATACACACTAATAGGATATTAATTTCTTTAATCAATTTATTATTTCATCGACAAAAATATCGATTTCAGCGGTTGAGGTGAGAGAGAAGTTTCAAAAATTATCAGAAATTTTATAAACATATAGTCATAGCAATTTAATTCGATCCATGCAAATTGCTTTGTCCTGTCTCGTTCGTTATAAATATATATGATTAAGAATTCCTGACGAATCAAATGAAGAATTTGTTCAACAAAGATTATTTGTAAAATAGTTTTTAGCTTGGCGAGGCTTTATTAAGTTTATTTTGCTCCAGGACATTATCAGCATTTGCTCGTCTCTAATTTCAGTTCGATCACAAAATCTGCGTGCTTTATATATCTTTGTATCGACTAATGTCGACCAGAATTTAAGTTATACCTGGTCAAACATTACACAATGCTTTCTGCTGGTGATGTAAATCTTCGCTACGCGGCTTTCATAGTTTTCCTGACATAATTTCGTGCGGCAAATACGTTATTTACGCGTGAATGGAGAATTTCTTAGGAATTTGCTACGACATAACTTGCGTCAAAAGATTCATTGCTAATTCTTCATGCTTGAAATTTTATCACCAACTTCATTAAAGATGTCTTGCATGAATGAATACAAAAATACACAAACAGGTTTTGTAGACCAAACGATTTAAATATATTGCTGCATGTATATATTTAGCGTGTTTAGGCCTAATATCCTTAAAAACATATAGGCTGTATATTTTACAAAGCCGAAAGTGGTTATTATCGTTTGAATAAAAGTAAATGCTACTTGCCATTGTGGACGTTTTCACTGTTTTGAAACTCCTACTTCAGAAATACTATAAAACCCGATTCGGGCAACTTATTTGTCAAGTTTTTGTTCTTATATAGGCTGATGATTATAGGAATTGTTAATTATAAACAACTATAAAATTTAATTAGAGTTCATTCCAGCTCGGTTCTAATGAGTTCCAATTTTTGAATTATATATATAATTATATATATATATATATATATATATATATATATATATATATATATATATATATATATATATATATATGTATATATATGTA